TTTTTGTATGTAAATCAGACTATTTTCGTCAATTGTCAGTCCCTGTTGCGACGATATCGGATCAGTCAACAAGCTCGGCCCGATTTTGCTGCCAGATTTAATTTTGCTATATTCAATAGATCCGAATCATTCATTAATCACGTGTTCGTTGGATAAACGAAGAGAATTTTATCTGAATAGAAATAGGCGAAAAATAGATTAAGAAAATGAATTGTATGTCACATTAATTTACGACAAATTATTGATTGTTAGAGCAAAAAGGGAGTACACGTCTTACAAAACGTCTTACAAATTATTAATAGATTGCAAATGTTACTTTATGGATATGTATTTTTATTTTAACGTATTTCGCAAGAATTTTTAGCATGCATTTTCTCGCTTCTGACGTCATTAAAAAGAGATAGACAATGCGAGGGGCCAGGAGCCTTAATTTAGCACAGATTTTAAATATTTCGGTTGGAATCTCGGCTAAAAAAGTTTAGAATGGTTCGTGCCTCAGCTATGCCGATTTTGTTAAAATTTTAATTGCCAGATTTCTCTCTCTCTCTCCCTCGATTTGGCCGAGATTCGAACCATTTTTTATTAATTTAACACAGATTTTAAATATTTCGGTTGGAATCTCGGCTAAAAAAGTTTAGAATGGTTCGTGCCTCAGCTATGCCGATTTTGTTAAAATTTTAATTGCCAGATTTCTCTCTCTCTCTTCCTCGATTTGGCCGAGATTCGAACCATTTTTTATTAATTTAACATAGATTTTAAATATTTCTGTTGGAATCTCGGCTAAGAAAGTTTAGAATGGTTCGTGCCTCAGCTATGCCGATTTTGTTAAAATTTTAATTAAAATTGCCAGATTTCTCTCTCTCTCTTCCTCGATTTGGCCGAGATTCGAACCATTTTTTATTAATTTAACATTGATTTTAAATATTTCTGTTGGAATCTCGGCTAAGAAAGTTTAGAATGGTTCGTGCCTCAGCTATGCCGATTTTGTTAAAATTTTAATTAAAATTGCCAGATTTCTCTCTCTCTCTTCCTCGATTTGGCCGAGATTCGAACCATTTTTTATTAATTTAACATTGATTTTAAATATTTCTGTTGGAATCTCGGCTAAGAAAGTTTAGAATGGTTCGTGCCTCAGCTATGCCGATTTTGTTAAAATTTTAATTAAAATTGCCAGATTTCTCTCTCTCTCTTCCTCGATTTGGCCGAGATTCGAACCATTTTTTATTAATTTAACATTGATTTTAAATATTTCTGTTGGAATCTCGGCTAAGAAAGTTTAGAATGGTTCGTGCCTCAGCTATGCCGATTTTGTTAAAATTTTAATTAAAATTGCCAGATTTCTCTCTCTCTCTCCTTCGATTTGGCCGAGATTCGAACCATTTTTGACTAATTTAGCACAGATTTGAGATATTTCGGTTGGAATCTCGGCTAAAGGCATTTAGAATGGTTCGTGCCTCAACTATACCGATTTTACTAAAATTATTTAATTAAATCTTATATTCAATTTTATTTCTTATGCATTTTTGTTGTACTTATTGATGATAAAAGTAACTAACAGTAACGATATTAGATATAATGTAGAGCTATGAACAGAATTCCAAATTTTTGAAACCCTGGCGAGTTTGCAGCCGTAATCTTCAGTCTCAGCACTTATTGAAGCATTCCTTATCGATTGGTACCAAAATTTGTTTATTTGGCTCCCGAGAAAAACGACTCCTCGTCAATCCAGTCGCTGACTGTGCCAGACGAATGAGCAGACGACTTTCGACGTGCCGATTAAACGCAGGTCTCCGCACCTCGCAAACTTTTCCGCGCTTTTCGCCGGTGACGTACAGCCGAATCGTCGAAACGAGCTCGCGCGACCGTGTAAGATCGCAGGGTTGGATCGTAAGTGTGCGCCGCGGGAGGAGCGACGGCGAAACGGTCGCTATCCACCAGCACCCAACTCCTCTCCTCGCTTCGGGCCATGGAGCGTAAAAGGGCAATAAAACACACGGGACGCATCTGGGTTACGAGCTTTACAAGGCACTAGCTTCTTTCTTTATCTTGCGCCGGGGCCATCGCTTCGGCCCTAAGCGATTTCACGAACGTCTCTTCTGCCCGCTGGCGCTCCGTTTCTCCGTGGCAGCCTCTCTCCGTGGAACTACTCCGTCCGTCGCCGCTGCACCCAGGGTCGGATTTTCGGCGTGCGCGCACTAATTCTCCGAGTTTCCCAAAAAGTCCCTGTCAACAACATTTCGCCATCAACAACATTTCGCCTCCTCACTGCTCACACTGTGAGAAAAATCATCCTCTCTCCCTCGTTTATTAGAACAAAAGCACGTTTGCTGTTTGATGATGGTTAGGAAAATGAAACTACCGTTGCAAATCATTTGTCATTTTAAGTAAGATTCATTACTTAAGATACAAATCACATTTGTTCTCGCCTATTTAAATCAGATTAGTTATGTCTCCGTTGCAGAAGTGTTGCTTAGAGCAGCAAATTGAACGCAACGAATCATTTGATTCGCTGTCCCATATCAGCAAACCATTTGTTGCGGGTACTGGTGTCTTGTAAAGTTAGCAGAACTGTTTCTGTCAGTTCACCTTTCGATGATTTACTGCTTTATCATGCATTGAGATTCACGCGGGAAAACGTTCGCGATGTCGCGAACGTTTGGCACCAGAAACGTGTCGTAGGTATCGCGCAAAGACGAGCTGCGAAAAATCCAGTTGGTCGTCGAAAAATCACACTCCTTCCTAACGATGATTCAGGCGGCGGCGATTGCCCGTTGCCACCCGGTATAGAGAAGGAGCACGTGTAGCGTCGCGACGATGTGGCCGGCCGGCGGCTGCTCCCTCTTCTATCGGTCGTCCTGCGAATAAATGTCGCAGTTACACGGATTGCACTGGGAATTGGGCACGTGGGCGTGTTGCGCTCGCAGCAGGATGCACCAGCAGCGAGCCAGCCAGCCAACTAGCGGCGGGTGCAATAACGATAACGGCCAGATCGCCGCTATAAAGCCCGCGACAACGTTACGTGACGATGACGGGCGTTACGAGCGCGATAATAAGGAGATACGAGAATTAGTTCGGCGACGGTCAAACGTGATATCCCGTTTGTCCTCTCGATTGTTCGGCGCGTCTTACGAATCAAGTGCATATCACGGCAGAAGCGGGAGTCTCTCTGCCCTGTCGCGCAGAAAAAGAGTCAGCTGCTGCAGCTGCACTGAGGGAAAAATTATCTTAAAATCAACAAATATTTTTTTACAGGTGTCATTAACATATTTACTTAAATATAAATTTTCTTTATTTAAATCAAATATTGTTTATCTGATCTTAATAAATATTTGGTTTAAATAAAGAGAATTTAGATTTAAATAAATATGTTAATGGCACCCAATGGCAAAGAAATATTTTAAATTTAAGGTAATTTTTCTCTCAGTGTGAGATGCAATCAGCAGCTGTTTTTTTAACAAGAGACATCTGGAATAAAAGTACCAATGCCTGGTATCTAAATCTGGACATTCTTAGAATTCTGGTCTTCAAATACTATAAAAATATTAAAAATATTAACTATAAAAATATTTAAACTTCTATATATTTTTTTATGTTAAAAGTTTAAATACTAATATTTAAAGACCAAAACTATATATATAAATAAAAATGTCCAGATTTAGGTATACGTGTCCTGGCATTAATACTTTTACCTTAATATCATTGTTACTTAAAGCTCAGTTAAAGTAAAATTAATATAAAAGTACCAATTTCCCCGTACACGTATTTAAATCTGATCATTCTTATTATTTTGGTCTTTAAATACGAATATTTAAACTTTTAACATATAGAATATATGTATATATATTTTATGTTAAAAGTTTAAATATATGAAATGCGTTTTCTTGTTTCTTGATGTTGTCAATCTAGAGGTTTGTGGCAAGCACCCAGAAGTTTTAAATATATGCTATTAAATTATTAAAGACCAAAACAGTAAAAATGTCCAGAATTAAATACGCATTCTAATATTTATATTTTTCCTTTAGATTAACTAAATCTAATAAGCTTAGATTAAAGAGATTGGAGGTCAGGACTCAGAAAATCCTGAAAATCGTGCTTTTTTTTCATAATTTTTTATAATAAACTAAATGAATATGCGAAAGTGTTATTTTGATGTGTATTTATACAACATATAAAGAGAAGAAAAATATAATTTTGATGATCAAATACTCAATATAAGTGTATGATACGTGCAGTTAAAATATATTTCGCTTTTCTTTTTAAGGTCGTTATTTTGCAGTAGTATCTTGACTTTCGGTGGTTCAATTAAGCTGAATATTAGGTAGAAAATTTCCTAAAGCTTGTCATTATCGTAACCACTGACAAACTCGTGAAAATATTTAATTTTGAAATATTACCTTTTTTACTATAAAAGAACTGAAAATTTAATAATATTCCATTAAGATATTTGTAATTTTGTTAACTTTTACTCAATTTCTATTATAGTGGTTCACACGATAACGACAAGCTTACGGAAATTTTCTACCTAAAATTTAACTTAATTGAACCACCGAGAGTCAAAATATTACAAAATGACGACCTTGAAAAGAAAAATAAAATATATTTTAGTTGCATGTACCATACATTTATATTGAGTATCATTTATATTGAGTATTTATTTGATCATCAAAATTATATTTTTCTTCTCTTTATATGTTGTGTAAATACATGTCAAAATAACACTTTCGCATATTCATACAGTTGGTCATAAAAAAATGAAGAAACAAGCACGATTTTCAGGCAATCTGATCCTGTAGTCCCCTTAAGAACGGCTACCTCTTATTCATGCTAATATACACTTTTAATTCCAACCAATAAATTGTTGTCTCGCAGAGCGTCTTATCGAATGCATGTCATCTGCAATAGCCGACTCTTAACAATGACAGCGAAATGGCCTGTCTTTTCAACAATCTTGCTGACTCAGAGTTGACTATCTTGCGATCGTGCGAACGTTATCGCGGCAGATTGTGATACTTCCTCGTGCCTCGCACAAAGATTCTCGTGCGCCTCCTTTAACGGGAATCAGTTACTTTCGCGTTAATATTCGTAACGTTCTCGCTCTTAACGGAGTCCGCTCAACGTTAGCATAACGTTAAAGGACGGCTAATGAAGGCTGATGGCGATGTAGGGCAACGGTGAATCTCGGCTTCTCACCGTCCTAAGTGTATCGACGTAATTCTACGGCGTCGCTTACGGCCCTCGCGGTGAAACCGTCCGTACGTTCGTACCCCTTTTCCGGCTGGCGTGGTTAATATACAAGGCACGGGAGAGCGATCCGGCTTTTCGACCCCGGGATTTCGATATAAATAAGGGTCGTCCCGCCGGTATACCGCGAAGAAGAACCGCTAACGCACGAGGTGCTAACCGTCGTACATCGTATATCCCCGTCCTGGTCGAGCTAATTCCACCGTGCCGTTATTCTTCTCGTGCCGGGAGGCAGTCCCGAGCAAGTCCGAGGACTCTGTGTAATTCGAGCGAGATCTTCCTGCAACACACAGGGGATTGAATCGATCATTGCGCGGAAAGTTCGTCGCGCGTTGCAGAAGTGAAGTATAGTTAGAGAATATTATAGTCTTTTTTTTTTTCATATGAATTCTCTTCAATTTTATTATGTTTTCGGGAGTACAGGAGTTGAGCAAAATCTGTCTTTTGCTGAGAAATATAACAAATTTCGTCACACGGAAAAAATTTTATAGTAAAAATTACGGTAAAAGTTTACCTTTACCTCAAAGTCAAAGTCATTTGGCTGTGTAAAAGTAAACTTTTACCTTTTATATGTGCTACTTATATTTTAGGAACTGAAATGTACTGTTAAAACACTTGCTTTGTTTCTAACAAAATTTACTATGTTCGTTAGCAAGACAGACTTTACTGAAAGAGAGACAGTCTATTACTAGACTACTAAAAACATAATAAAATTAAAAAGAATTAATATGAAAAAAAAACTATAATACCTTCTTCGTGTAGAAACAACAAGTTTCGTCAGAAATATAACAAATTTGTTAACATCACAGTCTATAAAATATTAATATAAAAGTATATATAGCACATTTATATTTTGTATATAAATTTAAGAGTAAACATATGAAATGAAGGAATAGTCTTACTACAAATTACTGCAGAATGTCGATCTATTTGTCGGTTAAAAAATTTTATAACAATTTTTACTATGAAATTCTTTCCGCGTGTAAAGAAGAAATTGAAGGGTGAATCTGATATACTCCTCATTGTCACAGGAACATATCCACTCTAATCGATTGAAATACTCGTTCATGGAGTCAGAATTCACTCTAAACTTGAGTGGAATATTCACTCCTGCGATTTTCACTTATTGCTATTTGTTTTCACTAACAACTTAAACTATTGTTTTGAATGAAAATACTGTCGCTTTTTTTGAGTGAGATTCCACTCCAAGAAATTCATAGAATTATAGTATCTGCTGCTATTCTCTCTTTCTCTTTCTCTCTGTATATTTATATTATCTTTATTATCTATTTTATCTTGATAAAACGTCCTTTATTTTAACTGAATAAGTAGTTTCTCTTGTATTTAGGATAGCCTTAAGTAAATTTTCATAAATTTTCGGTGATTCTCCGACAGTTCTGCGCTATGAGTCCGGATTAAAGACAGAAATACAGCACGGAAAGGAGCGAAGGGTGATTCGACGCAATCGCCAAGACAATTTCCGTTCTCGAGGATTAGCGCACGACTTGGCGAAATGTATGCACGGCGATTCGTATCGCTCCTTTCTAATTTACTCGCCTCCCGCGTTGGCCACCTCGCACCTCGCGTTTTTAAATAACAAACGTGGAAACGTGTCGAAAGGGGAATACGTGAATCACGTGGCCGGAAGTAATTTCCGCATTCGCGTTTTTCCGACCCGTCGCCACCGCCGTCAGAAAGAAAACCGGCCAAGATCACCCGGTTCTTTT